CCACGTGTTGGGGGCTCAGGTAGGCATCACCGGTTCAAAAAGTTGCACCGGCAGACCAAACGGTAATTATCCTCATGTTGGAGTTACTTTACTGTCTAATCTTAGCTTTTTCGCCACTTGACCAAATGGTCTGATGCAGCGCAAGGCATACGGAGCGTCCAGACCCATCCGCCCAGACAGACGAGAAGCCTCGGGCTGATCCCGGAGCGAGGGTAACACCAGCGGCTCCCGTGTCGGGGTCCCTGGGTGCTCGGCAGCCAGCGGAAGAGTCAACCACCTCTGCGGGTGGACTTGCAGACAACGAGAGGTCGGCGTCGGCGGAGGATGGGTCGGCGACAATACGCGAAGCAACAGCGGGTATTGTCGGGCCCTCGGGAGCTAAAACTGGAGCTATTGGCATTGCACCGGAGTATGGGTCGATGGAACCAGAGGCGCGTGAGGAGCTAACGGTGCCTCCTGAGGCGGCGCGGGGCATGGTCGGACCCGCAGTCCAGCCAAAGAGTCCCTCGGTGGTGCCTCCAGCTGCTGTGGAAGAGGAGGACATGGTGGAGGAGATCATTCGTGCTGAGCCTCAAACCCAATCCGTTCGAATCTACCGCAAGCGCGGTGATGAGGTGGTAGTTGTCGAGGAGGAGGACACCCCCAAGGAGATGAGGCGGCTGAAATCCACCCTTGCCGGAGTAGTAAAACAAATCGAGGTTAGTGTTGAATCATGAGTATTCGTCTTTGATGTTTGAGATCAAACTCCATCATTGTCATTGTTAATTTTCAGGGGATAACTCGGACTACCGAGCACCGGCACCAGTTGATAAAGAGGATGGAACCCCTCACCGAAGAGAACCAAACTCAAGGAGGCGATGAACCTCTTGGAGAAAAACACCCAAAGGTCCCAGCGTGAGCGGGACCTCGCTAAATCCAACGCACTAGACCTAGAGCACCAGAAAGGGGGCCTATCTGAGCAGCTGGCGACTACGAAAGAACAGCTGTGGAACAAATCCGAGCAGCTTGCCACTGCCTCCACACAACTAAAAGATGCTTTCGAGCAGTTGGAACAGCTGCAGAAAGTATCCGAGCAGAAGAAAGGTATGTGTGACCGGCGAAAGTGCTTTGCATAGTTGGATATGCTTACTTTTGGTGATGATTATTGCACTTGTAGAGCAAGATGTGGAGCTCGGACAGCTGCGCCAGGCCCTCGAGCAACTCCAAGAGGAGAAGGAGAAAGAAACAGGTGAGCGAACAAACTGGCCGAGGAGCTGAACGGTGAGTACTCCCTGGTCGGGGTTGCTGAGGAAGTAACTTTCTTGCGAGTCGAATTGGTTGTCACGAGCGGCCTCGGCCATCACAAGGGCACGCTCGTTTTCACGGCACTGCGCGCGGTTGACGTTTCGGTTTTCACGAGCGGCGCGTTCCTCATCGGTTTCGCCGTTCCGAGGAGGGCTGTCGATGCTGACGTTGAAGATCGCGCCACCCCGAAAGGTGGGAGAGGGGGTTGCTCGGTGAAGGTTTCGGCGAGGGTCTCCGTAGAGCCCTGGGATTCAGAGTCCTAATTTTCCTCCAGGATGGTTTGGAGGGATGCTCCGGGGCATCGACTGTCGTGCAGCATGTTGACCGTCGGTGGGAGTCGGTCAGCGAGGGGATGGATATCTCCCACCTGGTAGGCGAATTTGCCCCTCAGGGCGTCTTGGTACGTAGCGGCGGCATTGGCGAGCCCAAAGGGTAGGGCCGTAACCCCCAGAGTTTGTCGAGCAACTTCCGGTAGATCCGGATCGGAGGATGGTCGGCGCTGAATGAAAGTGTCCAGAGCCGACTCGGCGATGGAGAGGCAATCGGCGAGCTTCAGACCGACCCAATCGATGGATTCGATCAGATCGTCATTGTTGATGTGCCTCCTCTGATAGCGAGGAAGTGGGCGGCGAGTCGTTGGTGAAGGCGACCTCGGAAGTGGTTCCAAGATCGGATCTGCAGTTGCAGGTGCGGGAGTGGTCGGCGCAGATCGGATCTGCTCCGACTCGAGGAGCTCTTCGACTCCGTCAGCGTTGATGACCCACGAGATGGATCCGACCGTGAAGATCTGGCCAGGCTGCGGGAGAGACGAAGAGCCTGTAGAAAAAGGCATCTTGTTCGACAAGGAAACAACACGCACACCCCTACCTGGCGAGCCAACTGTCGACAGAATATCGTCGACAGTCCTCCGAGGGGTATCCCACGAAGGTAGATTGATCGGCAGAGGAGCGCGTGGTCAAGAACAAGAAGGCAACAGAGATACACGAGTTATACAGGTTCAGGCCATCAGTATGACGTAATACCTTACTCCTGTGGTCTGTTGGTTTATATTAGCTATCGTATGATATGTCTTGGTTTTAGAGGGGGTCCCTGCCCGCCTTATATAGTCTGGGGGGCAGGGTTACAAGTCGGTTAGATCTGAGAGATAACCGGAAAGTAATAACAGAATACAAGAATCATGGGATCATACGTATCCTAATAGATCTCATAGTATCTTCAGGATATCCTCCTATATCTTGCGGGAGGCGCCGAGCAGAGTCGTGTATCCGTAAGGCTTCATCTTATGGGCTGGGCTGCCCCTAGGGGCGCACCCCATGTGGTCCGCCATGGGTATCCGGGATCGTACCCCCCCACAGCCAACCACCCACAGTCAGGCGTTCAGACAGCGCACACCACCACCACCATAGAGCAGCAGCGCTCTCGAACAGTTTTAACCAGGGCATAAACTTACAGAGACCAGAATTAAAAGCAAGAAGGGGTCGAACTAGGAAAACCCAAGACTAGAGACAAACAAAAGCTAAACATCTCCTGTGACGGGAGCAGAATCCACTTTCTCCTTCTACTTTTTAAGCCGAGTCCTCTTGAGAGTCGCCTTCCTAATCATCTTTTTGCAGCAGTTGATTCAGGCCCTGTTCGATGGGAGGAATTTGGAGAAATCTGAAGAATTTGTGAGAGAGTGAACAATGTTTTTAGCCATAAACAGTGGATTCCGGCTGCTTTTAAGGGCAGGTGAACGAGCCCTCACTTGTCTCACGGTCTGCTTCGCCAGGACCTCCTTGGCAACTTTGAGCATCAAGTTAGCTCCTTCAATCAATTGCTCACGATCCATTTCAGCATATAAACCTGCCTAAAATGTCATAAGCGCACTTGCATGACATAATATATCTAAAGGACTCTTTATGATCTTTTTTTCAAAGCATGCTTTATTGCGACTTTTCCAAATAGCCCAACAATTGCCGCGATCCCCCAAGGATGATATTTTTTTTTCCAAAAGGCAACCAGATGAGTAGTCCATCTACCAACTCTAGTATAAATGGTCCTTAGCTCCTCCTATATCATGTCTCTGCTTGTCACCCATCAGCCTTAACTTCTCCTGGCTCCTTGATCCAAGCCACGTCATGTGTTCATATCCTCCTCCTCCGCAACCTCTCATCTTCCAACGTGGCTATAGTGCTTAGCGTACGTGGAACTTGCCAACTCGCTCTTCTGTGGTGCCCCACACCCAGAGCCCTCCCTCGACCCTGGTGTGAAGTGCGGCATAAGAAGATGAGAGATCACATAGTCACTTTGTGCAGCAATGGATTTGTCATTTGACTGAGGTTTTCAATTTCTTTAGCTATGGTTTGTGCTGGGCTAACAACCTCTAAGATTATGCCAGGACCCACCCAGCTTACCATGTAGGTACTATGGTGGTCTAGCGCTCTTTGTTCAGCTCCTTATATTTTTCTGATCCGTCATTGCTTCCTCCATTGGCTTATGGATGCACTCAGGTCGGTAGTGTTGTTGCATGCCCCCTTGGCACGTGAGATACAGAAGTAATTTGCATGCATTTCCTCTATCAGCTACTACTACTTGCTATGGCATGGCATTACCAATAAGATTGGATGGACCTAATGCATAGAGTTTTGGATCGAGAAAGTTAAATCTGCCCTTATGACTGGCCACAGCCAGCCAAGTGCTGAAAATCATCATGCCCATGCCACCTCTTCCGATGCTTTGAAAACCATAGACCATACAGTGTCAGCACCGATGTTGAATTCTTGAAAGACCAACTCAACAGTACAAGATTTTTTTGACATCTCTCACCTTCACCAAAGAAGAAAATAGTAATTTATTCATTGAGCTTCGATGCATGTACATCATGACTCGAGGAGGATGTTTTTGATTCCAGCATCGCCTCCTGCAGTGGTATGCTTCAATGCATGGATCTCTCTCTTCGTTCAGGCATCGGTTGCACACCACGTTGTGGCTAGTCTAAGAGCTCATGCTCCCACACATGCAACCGAGCATCGAGATGTGTTCCATTTTTTACTCTAGCTCGGTATAAAAGCTCATATATACCTCATGGGATACGTATATAGGGTGGAACCCATGTACCAAGCACATGCCGTCAGAACATAACAATGGGGTCTTATCATGTCACCGTCCCAAAACAAAACCAGCAATTGTCGTATTCGTGGGAGCATGAGCCCTTAAGAACAGAATTTATGTTTTGATTAACTAGCAGGTAGCACTGCCAGATCTGCCAGTATTAGCTTTAGGTTAAGGATGCACAATTTGGTACGAAGGGCGCGCAAGCTCCGTTTTAGTGTGTTAATAATGGGTATGAATCGTGGTATGGATCGAAGATGCATTTTGATCTTGATGAGACAACGAGCATGTAGGCATGCCATGCGAACGTACGCGCCAAACAAAACACGAGGTCTGCCGTCTCCACGGCACGGCACGGCACGACACGAAGTCACAGTCACCGTGTGTTTCGCATCGCCGATGGGATCCCCCGTCCCGTCGTCCGTCGTCCTCGTCCCGCTGAACTCCACGTGTTCCTTCCTCCGCTCCCCTCTCCCCATCCCGGCTTCCTTGAATTGGCTCACCATACGCCGCCGTCCTCCGGTGGTAAACCCAGGAGAGACCGAGAGAGTGATCGCGCGCCTCCACTGATCCACCTGCCCGCCATGTCGTCGCACCCTCTCCACTCCTCGCCGGGCCTGTCCGACATGGACGAGATGGCGGCGACCGCGCGCTCCCAGGTCGTCGTCGTCCCCGCCGCGCGGCCCTCCTCCCCTCCCCGCGCCTCCATCCCCGTCTCCTCGTCCTCCGCCGCCTCCGCGCCTCCCCAGCAAACCGCTACCGCCAAGCTCCCATTCTCGGCAGCGGTGCCCGCATCCACCTCCGCCTCGGGCTCCTTCTCCGTCCCTATACCTATCGCCTCCGACGGGCTGGGCCCCGAGCCCAGCACGCTCACCGAGCCCGTCTGGGACACCGTCAAGCGCGACCTCGCCCGCATCGTCAGCAACCTCAAGCTCGTTGTCTTCCCCAACCCCTTCCGCGACGACCCTGGCAAGGCGCTGCGCGACTGGGACCTCTGGGGCCCCTTCTTCTTCATCGTCTTACTCGGACTCATCCTCTCCTGGTCGGCCACCGCCAAGAAGGTATCCCAGCATTACCTACACTCGTTCAGCTACCTGGAACAAAATTCCATCGGTATTCAACTAAGTTTGATCCAACACGATCACTATGTTTGGAAACCAGTAAAAATGCCCAAATGAAATGTGTACAAGTAATTCAGTCATTAAGTTTATCAGGCTGTCTAGGGACCACCGCGACATCCAACGTTAACGCTTTGATCACTTACATGTTGAGTGCAGCAATGGGACTACCCTTTGTGTCTGTCCCTTTTTTTTAGATTACGGAATAAACATCCCAGCCTTCACATTCACCAGTGAATGCTTAGAGCTTAAAACATACAAGAATGGGACTCAGCCCATAGTTTCGCTAGGCGGACCAACCTGACAATATCCTGTGATCTTACAATAGAAGGTAACAACACAAATAGTCCTCTGATCACATACCAGAAAACTAAAATCCAACTTCAAAACACAGAGGACTTTACGCTCCTATTCTCTTCAGATTCTTCCATTCCCTGGAGCCGAAGAGTTGTAGCGCCACACATTCTAAACGTTTGCATCCTTCTTTCATCATTCTTCCCTCTTCCTCTTTAGACAGCAGGGACCATTGCCTAATCCAAAAAGTTCCCCTGAAAATTACCTGCAAGTAAGCGTTAGTAACTAACCTTTGGAACACTGTATCATTTCTATTCAACCATAAGACCCAACATATGGCCGCCATTCCCACTGTTATTTGGCTTCTTAGCCCTGGAGCAAATCTCCTTATTCAAGATCCAAACATATGAGAAGTGCTTTTTGGTGGTTGAAAGTTAAAGGTGATAAATAACGTGTTCCAAACAAATCTGGCCACACGGCAATCGAAAAAAAGGTGTTGAATATTTTCTTCCAAACCACATAAATCACACTTAGAATCTCCTTTCCACCTTCTCTTTACTAAATTATCCTTTGTTAAAATTACCCCCCTCCCCCCCCTTAAGTACCACAGGAAAATTTTAATTTTCAGAGGCAGTTTTGCTTTCCAGAACATGTCTTTCGCCGAAATTTTCTCCCTTTTCATAATTTCTCTGTCCCTAACCTTTGGGCAAAACAGACCCCTAATGCCACTGCATTTCAGGCATATTGGAGTCTTAGAGATAATGATAGGAGCATGCGGTAAATTGACTGGATCGCCTATGTACTTTACGTTCATTAATTATCCGAGTGATTGTAGTGTAAAAGTTTCGTTGGTTAAAAAGAAATGCCTCAAAAAATCTTCTCCACCTTCGTGGCACTGTGCTGCCGGCAGCTATGGAAGCGGCGCAATGGGGTGATTTTCAGGTCTGAAAGCGCAACTCTACGGCAGGTGCTGGCAACATGTATGGCTGATGCGCAATTATGGAAGTTAAGACTCCCAAAGAAGGATGCCATCATTGCCGAAGCTTGGGTCGGTGTCTTCATAACTGCTATGTAATAAGTACCCAGTAGAACAAACAAAGTCTAAATGATGTAATTTGCAAAACTTTGAGCCTTACGGCTCTGAGCAATTTAATACAAATTCAGGTGGGGATCCTCCCCCCTCCCGTTGACCTTAAAAAAAAAGTAGTGTAAATGTTTCCAAACCCAAACCTTTAACTTTCTGGTATCCCCATAGAATGTCAAATTGGGCTCACGCATGTTGAAGCTATTCATATCCAAAAACAATATGCCTTAGTTCATAATGGGTCAATGTACATTTCAATTTAGAGACATTGAATATTCTTCTAGGCTTGGTCAGTAAAATATTTGCTCCAATGTTCAGTACAGCGACCTCTTATGGAAATACACCCATAGCAGTGAACAACAATTTTGGAGTTCATACAGAGTTTACCACATTCTAAATCTTCAGGGACAAGTAGCTAGATCACAGTATCTTAGTGTACTGTAAAACAGTAGATGACTTCAATACTTCAATAGAATGTCTTTAACCACAGGTGCGCACATGTGTCTCCTCTAATGTATGCTTTATGAACTTGTGATGTGCATACAAATACTGAGTGTAGGTGTATGTGTATTAAGAGAGAATCAGCAAAAGGAAGACCATAAGGAAGGTGCACACTCGTCAAGGCATACGAAACTGAGAATAATGTTGTTGGAAAGCAGCATAATGTTTTGTGAGAGACAGTGTGCTTTTGCCTTATGAAAAGAAAACAATGTCAATCTAGGAGTTTCTGTTGAGCTGACATGGAACACTTTAAGGGTTGAAGCCATATGTGTTTATCTTGCCTTCAAGAATTGAACACTAGTAATAATAAGCAGTACCAGGCTTAAAACATACGACTCTTGACGCTCAATGTCTAGCTATCACCGATATAGGAGTGTATCTAAGCAAATTATATTGTTTCCGGTGCTCCAAAATTGAAAGGGCTTAAGGATATTCTTCCAATGTTTCGGTGGAAAGAACGCCCTAGAGTGTTTGGAAGTGCTAAAGATAACCACTTTGTAGGTTTTTCCCCCCTTGAACACAAACACTTTGCGGGGTTGAGAATATATTGCTGCCATCTCTTTCCTTCTGAAGTTCTACTGGATGTGGATCTTATCTCTTTGTTGTGCATAGGCAAGAGATGGCAAACTATGACTAATAGTTTCGTATCATAATTTTTAGATGTTCCTTTCCTTCTGTCAGAACCTTAGCCTATGATAGAGCAGTATTAATTCTTTGTAGACTTAAGAACTCAAACTATACTGATATATTGTTTCTTTTATACAATGTGATGAGTATTGTATCCCATACTAATTTCAGTTGCTTGGCTTTTGTTTCTGTAGTCTCAAGTGTTCGCTGTTGCCTTTGCGGTATTAGCTGCTGGTGCTATAGTTCTCACACTCAATGTTCTACTACTGGTACGCCCCTCTCCACTCCTCTCTTCTCTCTTACTGTGACTTGCCACAGCACCCATATTGCCATATCAGCTGATACCAGACACTGTAATATTTGGTGATGGCTGTAATGATTTGGTACAGGGTGGGCACATCATCTTCTTCCAAAGCCTCAGTCTTCTCGGATACTGTCTGTTCCCGCTGGATGTGGGGGCTCTGATTTGCATGCTTAAGGACAGTGTCATACTAAAGATGGTCGTGGTGACGGTAACATTGGCATGGAGCTCTTGGGCAGCATACCCCCTCATGAGTGCTGCTGTTAACCCAAAGAGAAAGGCCCTGGCGCTGTATCCCGTGTTCCTCATGTATATCTCAGTTGCCTGTCTCATAATTGCTATAGTTTGAGGCGGGGATGGTTTCTATAGAACTATCAGAAATACAGGATTTTGTTTTCTAGGTAGATCGATCATCAAAATGCACACTCTTTTCTTTTTGGCTGCGTACAGATCTTGGTTCACATTATTATTGTAGCTTTTGCTGACTGCTTCAATACCTTATTTTCAATTTTGTTTCAGAAAAAGTGGCAGGGATTTAGAATGTAGTCAATCAAATGTTATGAATGTTGTATAGCCATACAGATATCTTGCTGTTTCGCATCTATGTAAATAATCTGCAGTGGACTGCTGAAGACTGAATGAGTCAATATATGCACTCTGTTTTACCATTTTGTTTTGTTGCGTGGACTGTGGAACAGTATTAGCTTGCTCGGTTCTCGTTTTAAGGAAGTACTTATGTATTTGGACGATTGCGTGTTAGATCAGTGTGTTAAATCGATTTTTGTTAGTTAACAACTTCCGTGGTCTTTGCCGTGGACCTATCAATATATATGCTCTAAAGTAGTCATACTACTTGTTTTTTTGTTAACAATTTTCTAGGTCTTTGCTGAGGGCCTATCTATATACTATGCTCTAAAATAGTAGTTATATTAGGCAAGTCTCAGACTCAGTGGAAACTTCATGTCAATGTTTTCAAAACTAGTGTGTTGAAAACAGCTCCATAAAACTCATTTCATCACATTAAACTTTTATCATATCTCTCTTTATCACATTAAACTTTTATCATATCTCTCTTTATTAATAGAGGCTTGCTAGTGTCCGGACGTCTGTCCGAATGCCTGTGCCTGCAGTCATTTTTTCGTGCCGTTTCACGCGCCCACGGGCCCACGCCGCCCCGAAAGTCACCAACATCGAGAAGAGAGGGAGGAGGCGGCGGATGCCTAGCCGGCGCCGGGGGAGGAGGTGACACCGAGGCGAGGCGGGAGAAGGCGAGGAGATGCAACACCCGATCTACTTTTGAAACATTCAGATGCAACACTTGCAACATACGTCTGAAGGCAAATAAAACATTTAAAATATGCATCTGAAACACTTGCAAAAGACTTAAAAAACACTTGAAACCATTGCAAAACATATGCAACATCCAGATAAAGCACTTGCAAGCATGTGTCAAACATATGCAACATACAGATAAACAAACTTACAACATACGTCTGAAAAAACAGATGAAACATTAGGAACAAAAGCTTGCAACATACGTGTACAACCATCGCAACATATGCAACATCTCAATCTACTTTTGCAACATCCGTATGAAACACCAGTAACATACATCTGAAACATCTGAAATACTTGAAACAGATGCTTGCAACATGGTAGATTGCCCATTGCTTTTGCAACGCGCCACATGCCTACTTGTTGGAATACTTCAGACTATTGAGTATTAAAGTCCTCAAAAAACGCTGATGAAGCTGCGGCGGCCGGACGCGTCAGCGCCGAGGGACTTGCCGCCCGTCGCGACGATTGGAGTCCCAAATATGCAATTTTCTCAACGAAAATGGAGACTCGTCGACGTGGAGCTCGCCGCCGCCGTGGAGCTTAATGCTACGAAGTGGCACGGAGGTCGCCAGTGTGAAGCTCGGTGGCAGCACGAACCTCGGTAGGGATGCGACAAACAGATGGAGCGAGGCCGCGAGACTGGGCCGGAGGAGCGAATGAGCACGATGCGGGCGGGCGGCGAGGAGAGGCGCCTGGTGTCCCATCCGCAAGCGGGCCGGCCGAGGGCGGGATCCGTCACACCTCCACGGCGAGCGGCAGCCCCACCCGCCCACCAGGACGCCGCTGCTTCAGCCCTGCGAGCCTTTGCCTCGAATCAGTAGGTGATGTCATATCAGCTTATTTAATGTCTATATGAAACTCTCGTAAAACTTACATTAAGATTGTCCTCACCGAGCTTCATCATCTGCAAAAAAGGTGACGCAAGTTATGAAAGAAACTGCCACGCCAATCCACACGAACCGTAATTGGAAATGCCGTGCATACAGGTTGCTATCATACATGAACAGAAGGGACCTGCACTCCTGCAGTCTCCATCCAGTTCAGGCCTCCAATCCCATCATCCGAACCCTGACTCTCTGACTGTACGCACGACTGAAGACCGGCACAGATCAGACTATCAGAGACCACTCTTATTTTTCTGAGTTTTGATGCGATTGATCCCCCATCTACGCGTTTAGCCTCCACAGTTTTTCTTAGATCTCACCATGACGTCCTAGATCATTCGCTGCCGGTGCGAGTAGGAATACTCGCTCCTCCTGGGTCCAGGTCAATGCATGCCGCCACAGCCACTACGACGACACGGCCCCGTCAAGACGTCGACGAGCCAGTGCATGCGCGTGCTGATCTGAGGAGAGCAGCGCATGCGTCACCATCGGAGGTCAAACCTCGTTCCGTGTGCTAGAGTCCTGCGTTCTCTTGGGTCGCCGTGGAAAACGTATTATTATTATCATCGAAAATATATTTACGAATATTAGACTTCGTTTGGACGCAGCCTGTGTGAAAAAAAACAGTACTGAATAGCGTTTGGACGTCCAGACGTCCGTGGCTCAGTCCGTTTTTCTGCATTCACGCATGGGCCCACGCTGACCGAACATCGCTTGCCCGCGCTTGGGTGTTCTATCTTGGCCCGCGTCAAGGCGTCACATGGCACTCTCACGCCGCCCTTCGAACATCACCCACACGGGACCGCACGTGCCCCAGGTTCCCTTCCCACTCCCATGATACATCCCATGTGTAACACTCGATCTATTTTTGAAAACATTCAGATGCAACACTTGCAACATAAAAAAAGCTTCATCATTTTCTTGGTGTCTCCGCTGCAAAACAATACACTCGAAATATGCGATGAGCACTTGTGCAAGCCTTGCAAAAAGTTGTCACTTGCAAAAACACTTGAAAAATATTGCAAACATACATAATATCTAGATAAAACACTTGCAACATATGTGTGAAAACATATGCAACATCCAATGCCGCGTTAAACGCTGGTGTCGTGGTAACATGCGGTCTCCTAGAAAAGCAGATGAACATTTTGGAACCACACATATGCAACATCGAGCTCATCACCGAGCCACATTGGTCTACTCAGACAACATTATGCCGTATAGATTGATCTCCACTTTGTTCGAGCGGTGCCGTTGCTCCACCAACCCAGTCCAAAGATCGCCGCAAACATCGCGCCGACGCTCTTCACCAAGGGCCTCCCCACCTAACATACCTCTAATGTAATTATGGTAGATTGCCCATTGATTGTGGCTGTAACCTTGCACCTACGTGGTTGGCTTGAAGTGCCTATATATTGATAACACACGTTTACAATCCGAACCCTGACTCTCTGACTGTACGCACGACTGAAGACCGGCACAGATCAGACTTCTAACACTACCTCTAAAATGCGATTGATCCCCCATCTACGCGTTTAGCCTCCACAGTTTTTCTTAGAACCACGTCCTAATCATTCGCTGCCGGTGCGAAGGATACGCTTGGGTCAAGCCAACATCTACTTGCTTCGACGAGCTGCGAGAGCAGCGCAAATAGAGGTGTGCTTCCTGCGTTCTCTTGACAAGGAGACTCGTTTGACGCCCTGTGTGAAAAAAACAGTACTGAATAGCGTTTGGACGTCCAGACGTCCGTGGCTCAGGAGAGAGATGCCCACGCTGACCGAACATCGCTTGCCGCGCTTGTGTCTCACGGCTGGCAGCAAGTGGCTAGCAACTAGGGCGGAAACACTTGAAATATGCGATCAAACACTTGCAAAAAACACTTGAAAAATATTGCAAACATACATAATATCCAGATAAACACTGCGCTGCCTCTAAAACGTAATTCCAAACGCTGAAACATACGCTGCGAGTTCTACTTGCCGCTGGACGAAATAGGGTGCGGTCTCCGTGGCGCGCGCCCCGAGGAGAGAGATGCCAGCGCAGCGCCCTAGCGCGGTTGTTGCCCGAAGTGGCAGAGCAACCCCCTGGCGCGCCGGAGAAGGTGAGCGCAAAGAACGACGCGGTGGAGTCGGACACGCAAGTCGAATGACCCGTTGGATAAGGCCGCTGCGCTGACTGGAGCCTTCTGGACGAGCGGATACGAGCAACCGTGTTAGGTAGAGAAGAAGTGGCATGAGAGAGAAGTATGTTTGGTGGAGACTATTGGACTGTTGATAGGCTGTATGGGTTGTGGTCAAATTAAAAAAACGTCCGACGGGAAGAAAACAGACCGGACGCCCGCGTAGGGGAATTAACGATTAAAAAAGCGTCGGAAGGGAAAGAAACAGGCCGGACGCGAGAATTCGAAAAAAAACTCTTATGACTGTCTTTCAACATTGGTATACAACAGTGAAATAATTTATTCATTTTCACACAAACTCCACAAAGGACCGTGTGTGTTAGTAGTAGTGATTTGCGTGGAAGGGGTCCATGTCGACCTCAAACTCTCAAAGGTGTCGCAGCAGCGAAGGCTTCTAAATTTAACCGGGCCAAACGCACGAGTCCAAGGAGGCGCCAATGCAAGCAAAGCCTCAAAATCCGGGAAGGCGCATCTGCTTCGTGCTACCTTCCGAGTCCTTCCTCGGCACCTCCCTCTCAACACGCCGTCGCCTCCTATATTAGCACGCACAGCGTCCAAAGCCGCGCACACCGGCCTCACGCTATTTTACGACCGCTAGCTGCGCCTCGATCGACCTCCGTCCTCTCCTCGTCATCGTCCTCGATCCACCCATCATCTGGTTCGTCTCCTGTCGTCGGCCAGCGAGCGGCTATGTTCCCGGATGCGGTGGACCAGCCTATGGCCGGGTCTTGTTCGGTGGCGCCGGCGGGCACGGACCAGCTCGACCTGGAAGCCGCGGAGCAGCTCATCCAGCTGAGCGGAGGCGACAGCGCTGCCGCCGGCGACAACGACGCCGGGTCGGAGAGCAGGAGCGCGGACAGCGTCAAGTGCGGCAGGAAGGAGAAGGAGAAGGAGAAGGAGAAGGAGGCGGCGGTGGAGAGCCGCCGCAGGAGGAGCGCCGGGAGGATTCCTGCCGCCGGGAAGGATGATGGCAGCGCCAGCGGCGACTCGGAAATCAAGGGCGTGGACAGCTTCGCGGCGTGCAGCGCCACGGCGGCCGACGTGGTGGAGAAGGAGAAGGTTGTAGTGGTGGAGAGTTGTCGTCGGAGGACCGCCGCCGCTGAACGGTGTCCCGCGGGGAAGAAGGATCGTGACGGCGGCATCGTCCGCGGGGAGGCGAGGAAGAGGCCGAGGTTCCGGTTACTGGCGGATATTTACAGGGACACGGAGCCGAGACGGCTTACGGCCGGTGGCGGCGAGGGCCACGCGGATCGTGATCCACCGGAGGGCGAGAGGAAGAAGGAGATAAAAAGAGCGCGGCCGACGAGGTGATCGCCGTCGTTGCAGAGGCGAGCAAGGCGAGAGGATCGGTACAATTAGCTCATAGGCGTATGTAAGTTAAGGATCGATTTGCATAGAGGCATAGATCATAGAGTAGATAGATGGCACTTAATGTGTTTGCATGCGTGGAAGCTCCAAATGTCGAACGGTATTAACCTGCAAGATATAGATATTATTTAGATTAATTGGTTGCTTGTATTAGTCTCAGCTTGCATTAGATTTTACGTAGCATAATCTAATCAAAGTGTAAACAATGTCTTGGTGTTTGATTCATTAGAATCTTATACCCATAGTTATGCGTAGCAGTTCTCATATCTTAAAAAGGATATTGTGAGTATGACACAAGCTTGCACCGTATAAGAATGATACATTTAAATTATGTAGAAAACCCTAAATCACGACGTAAAAACAACAATAATTAAGATTTTAGAAAGCTAACCACAAGTTCTATAAGCACGTCTCCAAAAGAGTACAAGCGATTGTCGCTCTCTCACAACCCTATTTAAGACTATAGGACATTCTTCCCTATATAAAAATCTAGTGCAATAAAACTTCTAGCCTAATCCTCATGAGTGCACCTAATTGCTTTCTAGAAGCTTTAGATGAGACCTTCTGTGTTGGCTAGTGGCCACCCTTTGTTGATTACATCTGCTAGTTCATCACACCAATATCACAGAGTACGAGCGGAAGTCTTTTAACGAAAACAACATAAGTTTTTCGTACAACACACATGCATGGATGTGCCACTCTCTATGCATTTTACCCAACACACGATATTCTCTACCACTCCTGGTCCTCAGAGGACTCAGGTGCATAGAAGAAAACATACGTCGGAGGGGGGGTACCTGCAAGGCTCAAATAATTACAAAGTGAGTACTCGATTGCACTCAGCAGAACATACCCAATATGATATAAGGATCATGCATTTGGTTGTTAACAGGACAACATTTGGTTTTGCGTATAAGCATTTTGCGCATGAATGAAAATGTGATCTTAACAACTAGGCTATCGAAGCATGTTTAAGTAAATGCAAGCAATTAGTAATTAGAGCTAGGTCTTCCACTAGTCTTTTCCCATTTCTAGTCCATATCTAGAGCATATTATAGAACTTATATCATAAAATTTGAAACTCTGCAGAGGGGTACACATTAACCCCACTAAAGACAAAGGATATCGCTTATACGACCCATCAATACAAAAGGGATGCCTCGATGCCTCAACATTTTCCAAGTCTGGCCAAGGGTGTCCAAGAACGATTTTACCGTGGGCTGAGGTACTAGCTTATTCTAGCTACACCGCGCCACACCTCGCACTGAATCCACGAGAAAACTGGTAGAGACAAAATACTTGGTTTGCCACGCCTATATGACAAGTGGTTTGTACAAGTATGTTCATATCTTACTGCCACGGATACACGGTCCTTAACCGGTCCAGCGAGCTACACCATTCAAGACCTCGTCCGTCTTGCCATGGTCCAACCCCTCAATGGTCCTTGATTCATTCTTATCATCTTGATCAAGTTTTAGATCATATCTCCAATATGTGTTGCTTAGTGGACAAACATGCCCTACACGCACGAGAGATGAGAAAGCCATCACCTTCTCGACTTCTACCGTCTAAGCAAACTAAGCATGAATTACATGGTAACAAAAGTAAACAAGCAATGTTACAAAGGTATTGGATCAATCACAAGGATGAAGCTCAAATAGGTAATTGTAGGAATTCTAGTCATACAGTACCATAACAACACGTTAGGCAAAATTGCAAAAAAGGTAGAGATACTTGGGTGTCTCAGCTGGCATCCCATTTGGAACTTCGTCACCAATTGAATGCATTATGCGAAATGAGTTCCTTGATATGAACTAGGGTATATGATATATATGCTTTTGCAATGATGTATAATATATGGGCTACAATAGTATACGGAGTACAATAGTATATAACATATGTGTGAAGTGTAAACAAATAGACCTATGGGAACACAGACCGTGCGGTTGGAACTGTCCACAAGAACATCTCGAAATTTTCTAAGTGTCCACTCTCCTGGACTGCCTGCTTGACAACAACAGTGCACGACGATGTAGTGTAGATTAGTTGCAGGTAGAGGTAGCAGATATGTTCCGCTACGACATCGTCAAAGTAGTCACGGTGGGGACGTCGGCACGATTGTTGGCGTCGAAGATCGGCAGTGGATTCAACGATGGTGTTGACGTAGAGCTTGTCGTGCTGATGACGTGTTGGAAGACACGATGCCAGAAGATATATGACACATAGACATAAGAGATATGGAGGCTATTCTTTATTACTCTGAATATTGATGATTATAGCATAGAGCACCCACATATATATATATATATAGTCCTGCCAAGGCCTAAGAGTCTGGTAAGAGCCCACATACAAATTAGACCTGAACATTTTGCGGGCTGAGCCGAAAAAATCCCCGTTATTTCAGGCCAAAAAAGTCCCGCCCATAATCATCCCACTAGGCAAGTCGGGCCTAATTTTTCAGGCCAGGCCCCGGCCTGGGCGGGCCGCCCACACATTTTATAGTGTAAATAAAATAGCTAAAAACAGTATTTCGGGCGGGCTCGGGGCTAAGAAAATTTTTTCGGCAGTGGGATCTGTGCCTCGCCCCTGTCTACTAAGGTTCATGAGCGGGCTAAAACCCATCGGGCTCGTGCCAGGCTCAATTCACTAAGATCTAATACAAACGCACTAGAGTTAGGATTTCTTGTTCTCCTTTTCTTTTAGACTAACAAAAGTGCCCGTGTGTTGCAACGGAAGGAAAAGTATAACGTCATCCGAAGTTTTAATATCTATGTTTTGTTTTCTCTTGAAAGCTATAGTTTTTCATTACATCATTATATTTTTTATTGCACTCGATGTTATGCTCAAAAACATGTATATATATAAATAATTTGGACACAATATTTTCTTCTACTTTAAGTAATCAATTGCATCTATGCCATAGCGTAGGCGAACACGAAGGGCCAGGGGCACACGTTTTCACTTCCACTTCCAATTATAGCATCAAATATCAACAAATATAACGGAGCATACTGCATACCAGTGAATTTACATAGTGTATAAACACTTCATCGTGCAATTTTTGTTAAAGCCGAGACCAATAGCACACAATTAATCAATGAGGAAACATAATACCCTATCTTTTCTTTTTTCTTTTTTCTTCTTTCTTTTTTTCTCTTCCTTCTAATCCTTATCTGCTAGCTCGGACTCAGAGTCACGTGGCCTCATCCACTCGCACTCCGTGGCCTCCAACTTTGTCCCCTAAGCCTTGCCAAGGCGGCCATAGAGCCCTGACATGCTGACGGTCATAGCATCCCGGCGGCCACGGAGCCCCGACGCAACCACGCCTCGATAGCTCCACGCGACGGCATCCCGGCAACCTGGCAGGTCCATGTAACGGAGCCCCGACAGCCACACACCCCAACGACTATACCACCCTCGGTGTTACACCCTAAACAAACCACTAAATCATGTCATGAGCATTATGTTTATGTGACATTTGCATGTGATAAAGAGTGTAGATGAATTGCTTGTAACCTAAAATTGTTGATAAAAGTGTTAAATGAAAGCTGATCCAATAGTTCATGTTGTATCAAGTGAGGTTCAAAACCGATTTTTATTGGGCAAAAACATTATAAAACATACTTGTGTCACTTAAATAAAGTTTAAAGTACAAACTTTATAGATAACAATGCAACTCTTGCTGTAGAAAAACAAAATTGCTGGCTAATATTTTTAGTAGCTTGGAAATTGAAGTTGAAATAAAAATTAGCCCTAGACTTAGCAAATTTCCTAAGTCTAAAAACAGAATGGCAGTGCCATGTTGGAGAATTAATTCTGAAAATGTAGCTAAAGGCCAGTGCTATGTTATTGCTCCTAATGGTAGTCCAATGTACCCTCTTTGATATGGTCTAGGTGGTTGTGACTCAATCGAATTGGTTTAGTCGTGGTTGATGTTTTAAAATTCGTGCACGTGAACGGCCTCGGGTTGTCTGGCCGCGAGCTGCGATCACCACCTTTCCCGTAGCTTGGCATCACACGTGTTGCCGAGGCCATGCCGGCCGGGCCTGCTCCTGGCTTGGCCATGGTTGGGCATGGCTGGCCACCTTCCCTTGTCGTGCGGTGCAGCTGCCACCGCGGGCCTTGCGCCCTAGCCGCCGCTGCCACCCTACCGCTCTGCTGCGATGTCACTGCTGCTAGTACTACGCCGTGCCGTTTCTTGTCTCCTCGCTATGCGCACGAGGGCTTGCCCCCTCCCCTGCTACCCGCACTGTCGCCTTGCCATTTATGGCGCTACGGCCACGCAGGCAGTGCTCGGTCGAAGACGTGTGTGTGTTGTCCGTAGCGTCGACGCGCCTATCGCCCTAGTCGCGTCGACCGCGTCCTACCAAGACGAGGTCGCATCGAGCTCCAATTTTCCCCTCTTCTCTCTCCCACCATGGCTGACTGAGCCGCGAAAGTAAATTCGACAGGCAGAGGTCACCTTGGGTCGTTTCGTTGCGTCTCTACCGCCGCCATCAAGCCGCCTAGTTGATCGTTCCCATCCCGCCTTGAATGGTGCCCAGCCGAGCTTCAATTTTAGAGCTTTTTCCCCGCCACCGTGCCGATAAGGCCAAGTCCGCCCATCATTGAGGGCAGCTCCCATCTCACCACCTCGAGCCAAATTAGCTACACCGCTAGACTCGCCTTGAACCCTTCCTTGCCATGCGCACATGAGCCGTACCCCTACCGTTGTCCCAATGCTACTGATGCGGTCGTGTCCACCATGGCTCGTCGCCGAGCTCGCCGCGCGTACGTGGCCTGCCTTGCTCGGGGCATCTTCGGCCGAACCATCACCTCGGTCAGGTCCTTGGTGAGTCGTTGATGCTCACCCACTACCTCTACTGCTCCCTTAGCGCCATGGCTCACCGGAACGTTGTTGTCGCCACCGTAGGTTGCCCGCCGATATGGAGAAGTCGCCCTACTTTGTCTTCGGTCTTCTAACCGCTGCCCAGCGTTGCGCGTCGGTCCGTAGGTGAGCATCGACCCCCTAGCAAGGTCTGCGCGGGTCCTAGTTGGCCAGCGTAGCGGCTCTGTGTCGGCCAACGCCTTGCCTGCGAGCGCGAGGGCGTTGGGGACCTCCCCGATGCGAAGATGAGTCTTTTCGGGGTCCGTCGCGCATAATCGCGGACTAAAGGAATATGGCGCATAGTGGTCGCGTTAATAGCAGGAAGCGCGGGGGCTTTTCTACTAAAACGCCAGCGCGTGCAGGCTCCCTGTTGTGGGCCCCTTCCGCGTGTGGGTCGTGCCCGCGTGGGCCGCGCTGGGCTAGTTTGGTTTCTCTTTTTTTTGTAAAGAATTAGAAATAGCTTTGTATTTTTATTCGAGAGCTAGTTTTGTTTAATTAATATAAAATCTTTTAGATGTCTAAAAATCATGAAACAAATTTTGTTAGGTTCCTAAAGTTATGATATATTTGTTGGTGTAATTAATGTACATGTTGATACTAGGGGCTATTAAATTATTTGAAAGTGCTTAATATTATTAGGTTAAATATTGTATAAATTTTTATGGTAAATTGGTGATAGCCTTAGTCTTCAAATTTTTATGGTAGCTTCATTATATTATTACGTGCTCACTATAATTTTTGTAGCCTTAGAATAGACCAGGCATTAGGGTAGTTAAATGCTCTTTGTTTCAATATACATTAAATTATTAGTAGAAATAAAGATATATCCTTAATTTATAAAGCTAGGTGTTTGTTAGTTGAATCCAACACTTTGCTTGGTAAAGATAATAGTTAGCTTAGTATCTTAGTCATTAGAGTTAGCTTAGTAGCTTTATATGTGTATTCCTATTTTAAGAGTTGTTGTTGCCTAAATTCTAAATAGTTGTATCATCGTCATCGCATGCATATAGAGAACGAGTTGGCGGAGATCGTGACCACTGGCGAGCATGAGTTCGATGAGATCGTCGAGGAGTACGAGGAGAAAATTCTCATGCAGGAGGAGGCCCCGGAGCCGCCACCGACTGACTTAGTTGACACCACGCCTGTCCAAGGCAACCCCTGGTGCATAACCCCTTATTTTTTATAATCATTGTATATATATATTATGTGCATTTATGTTACAGGAATCTTATGAAAACCACATGTATAAATATAACTGTCCTATGAGTCCTACTAGTACAGGTTAGAGTAGCTGCTATGCTTAGATTTTCGGTAGCGTGAATAACCTGTCGTTACTCATAATAGGTGATTATTATAATTACTCTCATGATAAAAATAATAAAAGGAAAATGGAGACCGGACATGGATATGGTATGGGTTACGGTGGGTGTGATGAGTTGTCCCGCGGCCACGGGGCTTAGCTTGGTTACACTGTTTTCCCTGTCCATATCGATTGAGGACCGTTCGTTGCTGTGCATGGTAGTCAGGTCACAGACTTATTATCCTGAGCACGTACTTGCTTATGGAAGCAGGAATGCTCGTTGCGCTCTTGTCGTGGGTTCCGACTCTTTCTAGACCGACTGATTGGAGGCAGAGAAATGTGGAGGTCTAAGCACCATATTGAGACCGGGTCTTAAGTGTGGGGACTTGGAGTCCAAGTTTGGACGGGGACTTGGACCCTGTGACAAGAGTGAAATGGGTTGGTCTTGTTTCTGCCTGGAGTACAAACGGGGCGTGTGTTTCGGGGTACCCAGCTGGAATACATTGGTTCGCGAATCATCGTTTCCGTGAGACGGTACGACTTGGCTATGGTCTAACACCGTAGTAAGAACTGGAAGATGAAAGATGGTGAAATGGTTCTGATTGCTCAACCCTTACTTGAAAGTAAAACATGTGTTTATCTAGAATGGTTAGCTAATGAAGTAATTATGACTGCTAATAAAACTTGACTGTAAGGATGAACTATTAGTAATGCTTTTCGTAAATAAAAAGAAAACAACAAATCTTAGTGCCTATCATACCCTTGGAGTCGAGAAACTATTCCCACTAGTCGGGTAAGTCTTGCGAGTACATTGTGTACTCAGGGTTTAGTTACCCCTGTTGCAGGTGCCGCTTGAGTAATAGCTCTTGTGTGAAGGATTCTTCTGGTGGGCACAGATAGATCTTTGTATTATTTCTGTTAGACATTTATTTCAATTCCGCTGTTTAATTATCGCATTCTGAACTCTGGTACTGTAATAAATAATTTTCAAGAACTCTTGTTGTATGAAATGGACTAAGTATTGCAAACTCGTACTCATTATTGGATTCTAGATATAAAATGTGGATTGTTTCATGTTCTCCCTTGGCGTATGCTTGACGGAACTATCCGATGTAGCTAACTTTCGGAGTGCTTAGTGTCTAGTGAAAAACGAACACCTCCTAAAGCGTGTTATTTTGGACGGTTTTGCCACAACGACTTGGCAGCCTCGCCCACTTCACCGTCTCCTCTCCTCGATCTTGCCCTGCATCATCACCGTCGCACATCCTCGCCTCGGTCTCACTCACGTCGCCTCTCATCGGGTTGCCCCTCCGTTGCTCGACCTCACCGCCATCTCCGCGCTTGGCGCCATGGTCGTTCCGGCCTCAGCATCTTTTCCATCGCCTCGCCTGATATGGTGGTTTAATTTGTATTTTATTCGATTTCTCCTATTGGATTCATATTTATTTATTGAGTGGTTGTATTTCTCCAATTGGATCCGTATGGGGAGTCCATCACGTTGGAGGTGGGGACACAAACCAAGGAAAGAAAATTTATTAAAGTTTAGATCCAAACGGAATGGAGATCAGAGTTTGATGAAAAAAATTATGGCACAAAATTTGCCTCTTTATTATTAGATATAGATATAGATATAGATATAGATATAGATATAGATAGAGTTCCATATATGTTTTACAATAGTATTTTTATTGTCCACTTAATGTTTATTACCTGCAAACTAACGAAAGTTTTGAATAAGGCATCAAATATACTCGTAAAACCGATGTTAAATAAGGAATTTTTAATTTTTTTTTTGTGTCAAATAAAGAAACACAGTTTTTTCTAGTATTAAATAGGGAATTTTCTTTGAGAAAAGACATTTTTAATGTGCCCCGGTAGCCATGACCATGAAGATGGTTTGCGCAAATCAAGCGCTCGCCCGCATCAGGAGTCAGGACTCAGGAGTCGGTATAGAAGGCGTCACTATCCTTTTCGGGCCGAATTCAGAAGATAAATAGAAACCCCACTATTTCCTTCGCCCCCCCCCTCTCTCTCTTCCCGCAGCGGCAGTCGACGGCAAAACCCTAGATCTCTCTCCCTCTTAAAACCTCAACGAGGTAACGTTTCTTGCCCGAAGATTGGAGCTTTGGTTCTAGATCTCTCTTCTCCCCGTTTACTCGATTGGTTCGGGACCTTTCATCTGACCAATTTCGTAGTGATTATTGGCTGCTGCCTGTGTTACAGTGCGGGAGGATGTCGGAGCCGTCCAAGGTAATCCACATCCGCAACGTTGGCCACGAGATTGCCGAGGTATGTAGGGGATCAGTTGAGGGGGAATCTTGAATCTTTTGGGTTTTGTTCTTTTTGGATCAAATTTGAATGGATTGTTTGGTTTTTGCGAAAGATTTGATTTTTTATTGGCTATGTCCCCCCACCCCTTGCTGTTGTGTTTGCAGTCTGATCTCCTTCAGCTGCTGCAGCCGTTCGGCGTGGTCTCCAAGATCGTCATGTTGCGTGCCAAGAACCAAGTGGGTTATTTCTCTTTCCAGCACTTGGCTGAGTAGATGACTATAGGTATTGCTTACTCGTGGTTGTTTCGAGCCTCAGGCTCTTCTGCAGATGGAAGACATACATGCTTCCGTGAGTGCGCTGCAATATTACACTTCTGTTCAACCTAGCATAAGGTAATGTAGTCTATGCGTGTTGGCTGCAATGCTTTATGGATGCCAAGGGTTCCAAAAGAGATATTCATACATGTATTACAATGTAAGCTGCCTAGTAGCAAAGCCATATGCCTGGTAGATAATGTGTGTATATTTATGGATGCTGATGATATAAATTTTTTGGCTTTCTGTTGCGACAAGTGTTGAACTTAAGTATAGCCTCTTTTTAACAGTTGAGTTTAACATCCCATCCTATATATGATTTATCATTTTTGTGCATCATGTTTTACATTTTAGGGGAAGGAATGTATACATGCAGTTCTCATCTCATCAAGAGCTTACCACAGACCAGAGCTCTCATGGAAGGAATTCTGATCAGGTATGCCACAATTATGTACTTGTATGATTAGTTTATTATTATATTTCCTAATATAGTCTAAACCTGAACCAATATTATGCATAGGCCCTGGTTGTGACTGATGCATGTTAGATTTATGCTATAGGCCCTGTATGTAACTGATGCATGTTAGTGCATCATGTTTTGTTTTATTTTCTTATTGACCTTTGTTGGCATTAAGTTGTATGATAATCAATTAACCACATCGGACATGTAGGCATAAAAACAATAGTGCATTGACTTAACACGAAAAAAATCAAATTTCTTATTAGGTCCACTATTTATGTGAGAGCGTACTTTTGGTTTATGTAGTGTTAACTTTTTTAAATATGTTTCTGCAAAACACCCGTTTACACTTTCCAAGACTCCATGGTATTGGTTTAGTTGCCGGCATGCCTGCAGTTTTTTTTTTGGGTTAGGGTGGGTGGGTGGGTGGGTTGGCCTGGTTTGTTTTCAAGTGAAGTAGCCTTTGTAGTTCCCTCCATCATCAGCAATCCATTTCCTAACAAAATTGTTCTTGGTTAATAATTTTGTGATGATGGCTAGGATGGGAGAAGGTTCTTTTTCGAAAACCTTTTTTTTCGAAAACCAGAAGGTTCTTAAAAGTTGGTATATGATGTAGCAGCAGTAAAACTAGATCTCTATAAAAATTATTGGCATGTGCAACTAAATTGTTAGAAAAGTGTATTGATTGAAAGTATGTTTAGCTGTATTTTATATCTTTCTACCTCCACTTGTAGATAGAGTTAGATGGTATCGCATATCTGCTGTCTCTTATTTTCCAACTAGTTATACACATTCCTCCCTATTTATTCTTTTCTTTCTATCTCCTCTTTTCTGTCTCGGTGCTTGTTGCTGCTTGGCCTCAGGAGTCTGAACCCAACCGAATCCTCTTAGTTACTATCCACCACATGATCTATCCTATAACGGTGGAGGTTCTACATCAAGTATTCAAAGCTTATGGATTTGTGGAGAAGATTGTCACATTTCAAAAGTCAGCTGGTTAGATTTTCCTGCTCTTTCTCTCTTTCACCACGCACACGTGCACCTGGTATACATTTTCTGATTCCCTTACAGATTGCATGTGAATGGTAAGGTGGATTTACCAATTGATATGAGCTTTATATGTATTAATAATGTGGGTTCACTGGGATGTACCCTGTTTCAGAAAGTAAGCCGTAACAACAGCTTTAACCGCTACCAACATTTTGTGCTGAAACTTAGCTATTAATTATAAGTTTTAGATGCACTTGCAAATGACTGGTACAGCTCGTACATCCAAAACTTGCTGTCTGGTTACAAATTCGAATGATTTTTGAGCCAAAAGTGTTCACAAACTTAACCATCTACCCCAATTTGTGATCTTTAAGATTCTTTATTCTTTGCTTAACTGATGCAGGTTTTCAAGCTCTTATTCAGTTTCACTCACGCCAAGAAGCTGTGGAAGCATTTGGTTCTTTGCATGTAATAATATTTACATTGTTCAGCTAATGTCCTTACTGTGCATGTATAACCGGCATTACTTTGTTCTTACACAAACAAAAATATCCCAGGGAAGGAACATATATGATGGTTGCTGCCAGCTAGACATTCAATATTCAAAGTACGGCTGTAACCTATCACATTTTAAATTTGGCCTCACTTTCTATAACTTAATTTCTTCTTGTTTCCTTTTTATCGAATATCCAGTCTCAGTGAACTGCAAGTCCACTACAACAATGACCGATCTAGGTAATATTGGCTTTTTCATTCCTGCCAGATGTAGCAATGTGTCTTAACACCAGTTACCTTTAGATAATTGTTCCATCTTGCAAAGTTCACATGCCACTTCATTTAGTGGTTAGATCTTTCTTCTGTGATGAATTTTATTTTCTTAGTTCCTTTTTCCTTCGTCAGAGATTTCACAAATCCATCATTGCCTACAGAACGTCCTAGGGCCCCTCAGGTTGGTGGTTGATACTTGTGCATACACTTTTTGCCTGGACCATTTTGATTCTGTAAAGCTAACTGCGTGGTTTTCTATTTTTTCAAACTTATTATTATTACTGGAGCAGCAAGGTTATCCTGATCCAGCTAATCTCTATGCCTTCCAACAAGCTGGAGGTAGCACACTGAAACTTCCATTACTTTTGGATAATTATTATACATCCCTGATATTTGCACAAAGTCTGATTTGGCTTTTTTTTTGTTTGCAGCTTCATTTGCACAGGTTGGTGTCTGAATGGATTATCCAATGCTGTAATTTTTAGCAGAAAATCGTTGAACTGAATGCATGTGTTGTCTAATGCATGTGAATACTTATACAAAGCTTTTGCAATGCCAGATGGGGAGGGCTGCAATGATTGCGGCTGCATTTGGTGGAAGTTTACCTCATGGAGTGACTGGTACCAATGAACGGTGCACACTCATAGTCAGTAATCTGAATACTGATGTAAGTCTTGCGCTGTTTTGAATATTTTCAAGGATTGTTTCCTACTTATTTGTGTTAAAATTCGTTACTCTTTCGAATAGTATTTGCTGTTTGGTGAGTCTTTTTGCTGTTAAGCTTTTTATTTCCTTAATAGTCAGATGAGGATAAGCTTGAAACTTACTACCTGTAATCATTCCATGTTCTGTGCAGAAAATTGATGAGGATAAGCTTTTCAATCTGTTTTCCTTGTATGGAAACATAGTAAGAATTAAGATACTGCGGAACAAACCAGATCATGCCCTTGTTGAGATGGCTGATGGGTTGCAGGCTGAGCTAGCTGTGCATTATTTGAAGGTACATTCATACCCACTGATATATGCGTTCTCAGTTGCATTCCTACCTCTTTGCAGTTGACGATACTTATCTCTTTGCAGGGGGCTATACTATTTGGGAACAAACTGGAAGTTAACTACTCAAAGTACCCTAACATCACACCTGCCCCAGACGCCCACGACTACTTAAACTCAAGCTTGAACCGGTTCAACAGCAATGTGGTCAAGAACTACCGACATTGCTGCTCCCCAACGAAGATGATCCACATTTCCGCCCTCCCCCAAGAGATCTCCGAGGAATCAATCCTGAACCATGTGTCTGAGCACGGCACTGTTCTCAACACGAAGCTATTCGAGGTGAATGGCAAGAGGCAGGCTCTCGTTTTGTTTGGGACTGAAGAGGAGGCGACCGAGGCCCTCGTGTCGAAGCATGCCAGCACGCTCGAGGGTAACACGATCCGGATCTCTTTCTCCCAGATGCAGAGTATATAAGCCACCTCAAGGGAAAGCTCCTGTCGCCCTCCCTCGACCCCCTTCGAGCTCTATTTAGGAAGCATTTCAGACTAAGATGTGAATCCTGTGCGCTATTCTCCAAGACTGATGCTGTCTGAGCTGTACCCCCCCTAACCTTTGGTTTTTCTTTTCACGCAACACTGGCCTTTCACCAAAAGGTTTCTGTGTTTCTTTCCAAATCCTGTTTGTTAGGTTGTCAAAGGATATTTACCCCTTCATCATCATGTCGTGATATTCTCAGTTGGAAGGCCTGTTAATTGTGTGAATCGTATTATCTTTTTCCCAGTGTGAATCGTATTATCCTTTTCCCCGGAAGCGATTTACCCGGTTCGGCATGTTTGATTTTCCCTGGAAGCGATATACCATATACCTATTCCTCTGCTGCGAGACTTACCAGCAGCTGCGACGTCGATTCAGCCGCGGCACAGGCATCATACTAGGGTCAGTAGCTACCTTGTCATAAGCGACGTTCATACTAGGGTCAGGATCTACCTTACCATCAGCGACGTTCAGTCATGATTGCATTTGTGTAAGAATCGGTGATCTTGGTAGACAGTAGACTGTAGTATAAGAAACTTATATACACAAGTAACACTCGTATAGAATCGCGTTCAGCATTACAGGTAAACACGATCTAGCACACTGCTGGAGATCAGTTAAAAGTGCATCTCGTGCTTGTAAGTGGTGCTGCAATTTTTGTGTCACCAACCGATTGCAGCGCAAGCCAGTGCAGGTTGTCATGTATCTGACAATGCGCACCCGAGTTCTTCCTACAAACTGATATTGCCTCATGCTCCATGCCCCAGCTTTAAATCCATAACCAAACAATCCATCCTGCAGTCCAGCATAGCCACAATGATCTACTCAATTAGGAGGAACTTAGATTTTGAAGTTATGGATCAGAATTTCATTGAAAAATGGCCATTGGCCCTTCCTTTCTAAAAAAAATATAAACTGCAAATAGCCGATACTAGAAATGAAAAGCCCTCACAAAATAGCTTTTGAACCCTGCTTCCAGCAGAAGAATATACCTGAAACACCCATCGCTTTCATGCATGCCTCATACAGTCCTCACTCTCTCTAAACGGACGTTCTGGCTCTTCGGAGGTGTTGGTTCCAGTGACGTGATCACCTGTGGCATAGTCATTCCTCCTGAAACAATTATTTCTGTAGCACACACAACAGCAAAGTCATCAGATTAGAATAATCAGCAAATATATGAAGTGTTATGATGAGTCGACGATGAATTAGTATTAGCTTTGGGCCAAAAGAAAAACTGAGCTTAGCTCAGTTGTCTAGGCTTCTTGTGGTGGAACATGAGGGATGGCAATCCTACCCATGGGTAACCACTCACATCCACTGAGGCAGTAACTAGTGAGGCGTCTACGTAACTGGCACTAGTGAGGTGTCTACGTAACTGTCAATCTCAAAATCTCTGGCCCAGTGATCAGAGGCGTTTAGGGATAAGTGCATGTGTGTGGTTCACACACACCAAAAAAAAACTTATCACCTGGAGTCCTGGACCATAACAGAACATTTGAATAATTTCTAGCAGGAAGGAACAACTTAACAAGAACTTGTTATCTCAAACCAAACTATTCAAAGGGATTAACATAAGATGCGTTATTTTTTCTTTTCTCTGGACAGTAGCAGTAGAGGCAAAGGTAAAAAGAGAGCAAGGAACCAACCTATGCCTTCACGAATGGACAAATTGGGCCTTATAATTTCGGCGGAGTTTACCAAAAAGATGTCGCCGATATATAAATGATTGGTTGGCACATAAACACTACACAATTCTTCATCGCCTTTGTCTGTCTGCAATGCAACAATAGATGGTCACCTCAGAGTTCAGAATGAAAGATCAAATGTTAAATCAATCATGGATGCATGCCGTTGTACGCGCAGGAACTACATAGTTCATTGCTTCTATAAGTCAAACATCAGTAATGAAACAATAGATGACCAATTTAGCATGGGATAGGGGTCACTGTTATATCCCTTTACCCCAAGTGGGTGTTAGCTCCAGGCTAGCTTGTAGGGCTAAAGCTTCCAGGCCTTATATGATTAGCCAAGTAAAAGGGGGTGTTAGACTTATGGAGAGGTCTACCTTACTACTACTAGTAGGCTATGCAAAACTTAAAATTAATTATTTTTAAACATAAGATAAAAGATAGCACAATGTAATGGAATGAATCTTCAGATGCATATGGCTGAATCACCAAAAAAAAAATGTATACAAAATCTACGGACAGCATATTAACTAGGAAAAAAAAGATCACATCTGCTGGTCAAAGCCATACATAGCTGCGGTGTGCATGAAAAAGTACCTGAAGAACCATGGTTGATGTTATGAATCCAAATGCATATTCACCAACACGGGGATGACTAATAATTGCTACTTCTTTGAATGCTGTTGTATTTTGATCTGTCCAAAGAAAAAAAAAATATATCCTAAGAACATTTCTGCCTGACGAAAGGAACTACAAGAAAGTTGGAAACAAATACAAACTGTTGATATCTATGTAAACACAACATGCAGCGCATAGAAATATGGTGCTGTTGAGTCATGCAGCACTCATGGTAGTAAAAAAAAATTAAGGGACTTTGGTGTCCTTGCCCTTACTGTAGAGGCTAATGGTGTTTTTAATCCTTTTCCAACTTTGTGATTTTACCCTCACATTTTGAAATCGAATGAGCCGTTTGCCCCTGTTTTGGATGGCTGTTAACTTTGACTGGATTAATAAACATATTAAAAAAAGAAAAACAATATAAATACATGGGAAAGGATGAAAGTGCCCCTTATCCACTTATCCTCATCCCACCCAATGGTTTCATCCAAGCAAATCAGAGATTCGGCCGGCCAGCCCCATCCTGCCCCATTCATATCAAGCTCTAGCAGCAGGAGGTGCGAGAGCTGGTGGCCGGTGGCAGAAGGTGCGAGCAGGTGATCCCGGACAGTGGCTGCAGCATGAGACGCATTAGTCTAGGCCAGCATCCACGACTGCTAAAAGGCCTGACGGTCACAGCAGGAGGCACTCGTGGGTCAGGCTAGCTGCTGCGCAGCAAACTGGGCACAGATGGCACATGAGTGACAACAGTGGCAAGCGCGCACAACAAGGTGAGCTTGTCATGGACAGCACGTGGGCGACAATGAAACAGCCATCAAGCATCAGCATCTCTGCGAAGCCATCCGGGATCACCTCGCTAGGACCGGGACTGCTCTTCTTCGATCTCCCCACCCGACGGATCGCTCTCGGCGGCAGCGGTGGCAACAAAGACGCTGGTCCTCACTATAGCAGTGCCGCACCTTCTTCTCGACGTCACGGACTGCTCTGATGTGAATCGCTGGAGCTCTCAAATGTGGACATGTCATGTAACTGTTCACATTGAGCTCTAGCGGCAGTGGCTGGCAGCAGGAGGCGTGAGCGCTGGTGGACAGCTGTAGGAGGCGTGCACGGGGGTCCTGTCATGTTTGCCTGCGACTGGATGGCTCATGGTTGCATGGACATGCCTGACCGGCAAGCAATCCGCATCTTCACACGGCGACATCCAGTAGGTGCTCGAGGAATTGAGTGTCATCATTTTTTTATGAGGGCCACTGATGTTTCACATGTGAATCTGCTTGCTTGATGCATGGAATTAGGAGCATTTGTACTACTCCCTCAGTTCCAAATTTGAAGATGTTTTGGTTTTTAGATACATTGTTTTTACTATGTATCTAGACAGTGTATATCTAAGTGCATAGCAAAAGCTATGTATGTAGAAAAGTCAAAACGCCTTACTACTTGGAATACAGGGAGTACTAGTTAGATTAGATGAGCAGCATTGCACTTGAAATATATCCAAATTCTATAAGTATCAAGTGTCTGTCAAAATTTGTTAAAGTTTGGTCAGACTTCAATACATGCAAATTATGTCAAAGTTTTATCCGATTCAAATATACAAAAATTCTCTGTGAAATGCTGTTGTCAAAATTCTTCTGAAACATGTCAAATGTTGTCCAAATGATTAATGTTAAAACAAGGGTAAAATCATAAAATTTGCAAAAAGCAAGGGTAAATTTGCATGGGCAAAGTTGTCTTTTCAAAGCTGAATTAACGCCGTTAAGCCCCCTTAACGGGATAGGGGCAAACTCAATCTTCAGTTTAAAAATGTGAGGGCCATATCACCATGTCGAAAAAATAGGGGCAAAATCACCATTGGACTTAGTAGGGGCATGAACACAAAAGCCCCAAAAATTCATAAGCAAACAAAAAATGGATTGCACGAAAAACTTCTTGTGGCTTTCAAATGAAATTGTGACCCTCAACCCATTTATGATGTTTATGAAGCATAAAGTTTACCTGATCTAAAATTTATTAGTTTTCGTGTTGGCAACGGAAATGTATAGGACTCCTCTACAGGAAAGCTAAAATAATTTTTGAAGAAATAATATGGACAGTCAACATTCTGGTGCACGTAGAATTGGAGCTGTATATGAATTACATTACCTGGTGAAACAGCAGTGCTAACTTGCTTTGATGCAGAGTATATGTGCCTTACAAATGGCATTTTCTTTATAAACCATTCTCCAACCCAGAAGACAGTTGAACCCACCCAAGAAGACACAAAGATTCCAACAAGAAGTATAAACACCAGGGAGGTCAAGAACCCAAGGCCTGAAACATTGTCATAAGCAACTGTCATAAAAAAAGACTATGAATTCAAGAAAGAGGATATCTGCACTGTACAAATCATAACAATTCACCATGTACTCAGACAATTCAGGAATCTGGTTATTGGTAATATAGGGAGAGTTCAGGACCAATTACACCACATAGTAAAGGTAGCCGGTATTAAATAAATGGCCAAACAAAAACACCTGTATCTCCCTGAGTTAGGGTTTGCATTCCTTAGTTCCTTCTGAAGATTAAATCTAGATCGAATACAAAGAAGAGCTCATGGGGGGAAAAAACTTGTAAAATACTTACATCATAACAACAATATACAGCATATAAAACGAAAAAGAAAAGAAAAATAGGACATCGATAATTCTACAATTTTAGTAATATATCATGGCAAAAAAAAGTACCACCAATAAAGCATAAACAATTACCAAATATGTCAAACCCCAGTTTTGCACAGAGTGGGCTGAAAAACCCATCAACAAATTGAATAAACCACCAAGTGATGAAGAATGTGACAGCAATTGGGAAAAGAACTACACTGCAAAGAAAAAGTAGGGAGACAAAAGAGGATATTAGCATGGATATATTGTAGCCGGTGCAAAGTGCCTGAATTAGTCCTTGTGAAGCATACCATCCAGTCATAAATTTTCTTGACACCCAGCTTTGAAGAACAGCAAAGCATGCCTATTATGAAATGAAGAAGATATTAAGTACGAGAACTGTTTGAATAAATTCTGGCACATGCATGTAGAGAAACAAAAATTCATTTGGATGCATCAAGAAAAACAAGAAAGAAACACAATAAAATCGGTGTACAGATTTTTTCTTGTTTGCCGGGATAAATTCATTACCATGGTATCTAAATTATGCAAACATTGTTGGTTTAATAAACATAAACCTCTAAGATAGAAAAATGGTAGAATGCCTAAATATGTGGACTGCTATTTGTTCACTAGGATATAGTTGAGGTTAACAACTTAACACTCAACCACAATTAATTTATCATATTTCTATTGTTCGGTGCAAATTCTCAAATAAAACTGTATGACTAGGTCCTATGCATGTTCAAATTCAAGAAACATTTGAAGCCGAGAACATTGCGCTAGTTATTGTAGGCCGACTTGGCATCTATATTATGCCAAAATTTGCTTTAAATCTAATTAATGTGCAGTAGAATCAAATGAGCATTCTGCCCAAATATTCCTCGATGATAACTAAAAGTCTCTCGTTTACATCAGTGCCTACTTCACATAACACGAGCATTGACACATCAAGGGCAAGCATGGCCTGCATTTGGTGTCACGAAGGAGAAATCATGTTATATACCCTAAACCTTCATTTCCAACAGGAAATATATTTTAGTGCCCTCCACACTGCCATTGCCACAACCAGTGGATCCAGTGGATTTCAGCCTTTCACGATTACAACGAAAAGTGCACATACCAGTAAGAACCGATACGAAATATTACGTAGGAAAAAAAATATCAAAGCGTTAATTTGAAATTTGACCACAGAAGGCGTCAGGCTTGGTCAGGTCAGGTCCCGCACATGGCCAACTCCTGCTTCCCTCACGAAAAAGGAGGCGGAAGACGGAAGACCAAAGGGCGAAAAGGCAGTTTGAACTTTGTACAGCGCGGCCGCACAGGGGCGACCAGATCCAAGCGAAACGACTAGGGTATGGTAGAAGCTGAGGTGTGGGGCAGGGTCTAGGGCGAGACGGATCCGGACCTTGCGAGTGGACGTGCCGGGCGAGCTGGGTCGCGGCGGCGACTTGACGGGGTCCTCGGGGTCAGGCGCCGCCGCCTCGGCCCCCGCCTGGCCGAGCGGCACGGGCGCGTACTCCTTGTCCTCCGGCATTGCGATCGGCGGGACGGCTGCTCCTCGCCGAAGCTTCTCGCGGGCGGCGCGGTGCGGTGAGGAGTCGCGGCCTCGGGGCTCGACGGGGACGAGAAGGTGGTTGGCTTCCGCTGGCTGCCAGCGGCAGGGGGCAGCTAACCAAACAGCACTTGCCGAAGCAGTTGGTGTGGTGGCGTGGCGGAGTTCGAAAGCGACACGCCGCCGGAAGTGACCGAAGTGCCCTTGGAGTGGGGCCCGTGAGATCTGGCCCCGCGTGTCACTGGGCTGCTGGGAATGGGGCACGTGGGTCCGCGCGTTGGCATGCGTGCATTGCGGCCTTGCGGGCGGCGGTGGTTGCGGACCGCGAGCGGCGGGTCCGGCTCGGTTTCGAAGCCGGCGCACCGTCGCTGTCGTGTTCGGTTCGTCCGTGGTAGACCTTGGTATGCTATGCCATGCTAATGCTACGACCAGCAGTGATGCTGGTTCGACGACGACGTGCGTGTTCATCATCTTGGCGACCGACCGTAGCGGCACATCCATGAAGCGCTATTATTGTTCGAGCACGGAAGTGGTCGCGCTTCCGGGCCGTAAAACAGATACCGGACCTCACCCACACGCTTCTCCGCGCGCGCTCGCCGCCGTTGGCCGTGAGCACGTGCGTGATCTTGGAGCTCCGGCTCACGGAAAATGGGTCGGCTGTGTCTGAGAAAACAAGGATGCATGTGTGCTACGTGCCTACAACATTATGTTACGTTATGAGTGTGTTGTCATAGAGCTCGTTCATGGAATTTATGGCGTGTTACCTTGTTTAACCATTGAAAACACGGTGGACAAAAAAGGTGCCTCCTCTGATAAGCTACATCGCCATCTCTCGTGGCTTGAACCCACCATGTTTTCATTGTTAATATTCCGTTACTCGTCACTCGAGCTCGCCATATCTCTATAACACGTTGTCGACACATGCATCTTGCTTTCACTAGTCCAAGCATGATGCTCTAGCACGTTTAATAACATGGGACGCTTACACTACATCACCTCATATTGTCGCTCCTCACTTGTCCTTGCTGGTCTCCAACGGATCTAGGATGAAAGTTCAGAGGGCTGAAAGTTCATCTTCAACCACCAACCTCTTTCTTCTCAAAGCAACCATGGCAAAAATCTTGGAGGAGCTCTAGGGGACTCTATGGGTCAGTGGTCGTAGGGGGCTTGAGCTCCCCTCCCCATCGCTAGCTAGATCCGTCCCTAGTCTCTATATATGGCTAGCTGGGCCAGGCACGCTGGCCCGCCCCGGGCACGGCCCAGGCATGGCACGGCCCAGCTCCCATCGTGCCCGTGCCTGGCATGGCTCGGTCGTAGTGTCGTGCCTGGGCCGCTACCTCGGCCCGTAGTGCCGGCCCGGGCACGACACGGTTTTTGGGGCGGCACGATGCAGCCCGATATATTTCAACCATTGGATGATAATATGATGAATCTGAGCCATTAGATGTAGCATGAGTGAGCACCTACCCCTCCCAAACCCTAAACTTCCTGCTCTCTACTCTCTTTCCCAAATTCCCGAGGCCGTGCGGCGTGAGGGGCACATTTGCACTCGGTCGGGGAGCACGGCCCCATGACGGCGTCCGAGCCGCGCTTGGCTAGGGAGCGGCTCCGCAACGGCGGCGCTTGGCAGGGACGGCGGCGGCCGAGGCGCATCCATGGCATGGGCGAGCTGGCGCTGGCCAGGACGCATCAGCGGTAGGCGCGAGCTTACACTTGGCCGGGGTGCGCTCGCGCGGCGGCGGCGCGTCTACGACGGTGGCGATGACGACTCGACGGCGGGCCGTCGTGCCCATCGGCACGGCTGTGTCCCCATAGTGTCGTGCCTGGGCCGACAGTTAGGCACGGTGACACGATACGGCACGACACGGCAACGCCGCGTGCCCCGGCGTGCCGTGCCTCACCGTGCCAGTGTCGTGCTATGCCTGGGTGGCCCGTTTGGCCATGTATACTAGTCTCCATCCTCATCCATCGTTGGTCCTCTAACAGCATGCTAACATGACCCACTACTATTTCAATGTCATCACCTTGCTTGACAGCACACCGTGGCGCCTTGTTGGTCCGATGGCCATTCCCATAGATTAGCAAGATTGTCGTCGCCATGGGCTTTCCTTTAAGATCAACCGACTCCTATAAACTATTAGCTTGAATAAAACTCACAATCCTAACTTAGAGCATCTCAAATAGTTCCCAAACCCCACTGCCAATCTTGTTTTTTTTGGCAAGATTGAGAAAAAACTCTCTCCAACGACTCCTTATCCCAACTCACAAATTTTCCGCATTTGGGAAAATCGACGCGGAAAGATACGCCGTTGGCAGGATTTCAATCTGGGTTGGCGTGGCTTCTTCCTTCTCCCAACATCGTGGTGCTCGACCCCCAGCCGATGCTACACGGCACCGTCCACATGTTTAGCATCATCATGGTCTCTATACTATAGGGCGCTGCGGCTATGCTTACCTTCTCCTGCACCTCAAAGTTCCTTTCCGACGGGCGAAAGTCGTACGTCTACGAGGAGGATGGTCATCCTCCGCATGGTTAGTAACTTCGGCATTGCCATCTTCTGCCTCGAGTGGGTCATGCTCGAGCTCACGTTCATGCTCTATGTGGACATGGAGTGCATTGGCAAACTGCTGCAACACAACGCCAAGGTCGGCCGCAAGGATGATGCCGACACATGGCTCTGTCCCTTCTAGATCTGAAGTGTCAAAAATATTCGCTTACAAGCTATGAGAAGATGGAATTGAGAAATCTTGAGTTCTTGGAAGGAAAATAGTGTGGTGTTGTTCTATTGATAGATCTATGTGTGTAGGGATGGGATGGGATGCAATGTTGTGATTCATTATTGGTTTATTTATTATGTGACGTGCTATGTAATATCATATTTGATTCTTTAGGAGCAAGATATTGGAAAAGACTGCAACAAATGGGCTTTCTACATTTTTAGTGCTTTGGAAAATTTATTGACTTATTAATTTTCTTTTGGGGAATTAGTGGAGATGCTCTAAGTAATTTTCCGTTGTCGAAGAACACAGTGGTTACTCAAACTCGAAATATTGAAGCACACCAAGAGGTCTAAAAATGAAAGATCGAGTGAGAACAAAGTTTGCAAACACTCATGCAGATTCTAGTGTTTTTCATCCACTTCTGGTAAAACGAGATATATACTGCGTGATAGGAGGAGAAATTGGCAAAAAAAAGAAAAAGGAATCGTGGTAGAAACTAGTTATGACCAAAACTTGTTTGAGGTTACTTATTATTATTATTTTTGCAGAGGTTAAAAAATCCACCGATCCACGCCCGCTTCTGTGCTTCATACAGACAGCTCCAGATCAGATGATATATAAGACCTCAGCTGCACATGCTTTCATCAAGAAATAAAGTACGTGTTTTATAATGAAATAAATACTATTATTTATCACGTGCGTTTTCTTTCTAGCTGCAACCAAAACCATTATCACATGATTAATACAGGATTCAACACCACCAAGCGAAGAAGAAACGCAATATTGCAACCTTCTTTGCACGGATGCATGCATCTTCTTGAATAAAACCATCTATCTATGTCGTCTCAACCACACAAGCTTTCTTCTTTGTGGAGAGAAAAAAAGAAGAAGGCCGTGTACGTTTTATGAAATGAAACATGGAACTTTTAAAATAAAAAAAAAAAACATGGCATGGACTATTGAGGAGGACGAGTTGAGGGTGGATACTGGCTTGAACCAGACCAAGAACCCGTGGTCGCCGGATAGCTCCACGCACTCTCCGGCCAGCCTGTCCACTGCGCCGCCGCCTCGCCGTAGCTCGGAGCAGAGGAGGCAGAGGACGGCACAGAAGCCACGGTAACCGTGGAGGCGGGGAAAGAGTAGGAGCCCGAAGAACTGCTCATGGCACCAACACCGCCAGCGCCATAGTCGTAGTACAGAGGATACCCGCCATGGCTACTGCTGCCGCCGTGGCTGGTGGCGGCGGCCCCCTGCAGAAGCATCTGGTACTGCAGGTAGTCAGCAGCAGAGACGGCGGCGCTGGTGGCCGGGTAGTACCCGCCCGTCGAGGCCGCCATGGCGGCGGCCATCGTCGTCGTCGTGGACCCCGCCGCCGCCGCCGCCGGAGCGGCCGTGGCGACCGCGGTGGACGGCGTGGTGAGGCGCGCGTCCTCGGGGAAGTTGAGCTTGGCGCGGCTGCCGCGGAAGCGGAGCGCGGCCTCGTCGTAGGCGCGCGCCGCGGCCTCGGCGGTCTCGAACGTGCCGAGCCACACGCGCGCCGCCTTGTGCGGGTCCCGGATCTCCGCCGCCCACTTGCCCCACGGCCGCTGCCGCACGCCGCGGAACCGCCGCTCGCCGCCGCCGCCGCTCGCCTCGGCGGCGGTGTCGGCCGTGGGCGAGTAGTGGTGGCCCTCCATGGCCGCCGCGCCCTGCACCTGCACGTCGTGGACCGCCTGCTCTCCTCCTGCGTGCGTGGATAGATAGAGATGAGTACACACACAGACTCTCTAGCGTAGGGTAAGCAATGCGACGGATATATAGCGCGTTGCGTCGGCGTCGCGCTCTTGACCCCTGCGTTGGCTTCCGCGCGCGCCATGCATATACGGGTCGTAGTTTTGTTGTGGTGGTATTAAATACGCATCTATCCGTATCGATGCGGGCAGGGGGCAGTTGCAGGCACGTACGTACGTACATGGTACATACGTGCACGTAGCTTCCTCTCGGCTCTGGCTTCCTGTGCATGCATGTTATAATGGCGTCGCCTCTCCTCTCTTCTACCTAATCACTGTAGCGATATATCTCGTAGGCGTAGCTAAAGATGCGACACGAGTAATACGTGATCGACCTACAGCTAGCAGTGCAGCAATATATTTTTGGCGGTATTTTTTTGTTGTGTTGCACGAGTACAGTATTCCTGAATAGTATATCTCTACGGACGTGTACGTAATCTCTAGCGGACTGTTTGGTGGGAGTTGGAGCGGAAGAGGTGTGGATCGATCGACTTGCCTAATCTTGATCGATCGGTGACAAGTGAAACAATCCACATGCGCTCATTTGCATGCATCATGTTTTGCACACTTGCAATCATCGCTTCTTCTCGGTCAAATCGACATTTTTCGGGCGTCGTGTATTGAATTTTGATGGAAAAACAAGCGCATGCGAATCCTCAGGTCAATAGGAGTTTCCAAAATCTGAAGAAAATGTTCGCGCAACTGGTGCTCCAAATTAAACTTTCTACTAATTAACAACAGTGTGACGTGGAAAGTAACGCTTATCTTTAATTTAATCCATCCCGATCTGCCTCGACGTACTACTACCGCTGGAATAATCCAAAGAGTGAAGAATAATTTTCAAAATTGTTCCAAGAAAAAAGAAATACTTTTCAAAATCTGATGAGAAAGCCAACTTTGTATGTCGTCGTTCATGGACAGTCTAGTTCGCTCTGACGTAGCATTCGTCTTGGCGCAAGCAAAGTATATTCATCGAAACAATATACTGCACTAACACCAACTTTTGATTCTGCCCGCATGACTAACACATGCTAATTGAATAGGAACGAACCATTATGAAAAGAACTCCCAACTAAAAAAAAAAGGCAAAGTAAAGGCGCACAAACACGAGCGTCACGCGGAGGTGTTCTTTGTTTCAACGAACTTGTGTTTTTTATATAGGATTCCTTGCTGTTTTGTTCCCAGCTGCAATGCAAGCTATCTCTCTCAGCTCAAAAAATTTAATAAATACAGTAGAATATTGCATGGGCGGTGGTGCTTGCATGCTAAGGGTCTGTTCGCTTATCTGAATTCGGAGGAACGTGAATGGTTTGGAGAATGCTGGAGGAATTTGTGAGAGAAAAATACTATTTCGGATGAAAAAATAAACGGATCAAGCCGAATTTAAGGGCACGTGAACGGGGGCCTAACCTGCTTCGACGAAGTGAGCCGGTGTCGGTGCGGCAGCAGCCGAGTAGCCGTAGCCGTGGGCGGTGCCAGCAGCCGGCGCCGCCATTGCCGCAGGGGGGTTATTATTGCCCCGGGCGCCGCCGGCCCACGGCGTGTAATACCCGTCGCCGCCGCCGGAGACGACGTGGGCCAGCGCCGACACCAACGTGGACGTCTCGAGAGCCTGGTACTCGCCGGACAAGACGCCGGCCGCCGCGTCGCCGTCGTCGTGCTCCTCTGGCTCCGCCAGCGGCCAGCCTGCTGCTTGGTGGCGCGCGTCCGCCATCTCCCACCACGCACTACGGCCCCGGGGCTGCAATGCCGCCGCCGCTCGCATGCACAGGTTTGACGATGGCTAGCTATTGGCAGCTAGCTGGTCGTCGGCTGGTGGTAGCACGTAGCTAGCACGACGACGATGGAGATGCAATGCAAATGCAACTGGTGGATCGACTGATCGGCAGCAAGGAGGGAAGGACAGTGGACAGATGATGATTTCAACGCACACGTTGATCCGTTCTCAACACGAGGCGGACTAATTAACGTGCCGTGCTGCCGGCTATATATATAGGGAGATATATTGACGGACGACGGATATATGTATGTATAGATCATGGACCCTACTGTAGTGTACGTACATAGGTGCCAACTGATCGAGGAGAATGAGAGAGAGAGATGCGGCGAAAGACGGAAAGAGAGAGGGCCAGGGGGGACAGCATGTGTTGGGATCGTCAGAGCTAGGCTATTTCGTCCTTACCGCCGGCGCCCGCCCGTCTCGTCTCTCGCCGCCGGGAAAATAATGCGCGGTTCAGATTTGGACCGGGTCGCCCGCTGACCGACCGAGCGCGGTACCTGCTGCTGCTCGCCGAGAAAAGCACGCATGCACGGGTGCACGCACTTGGCCCCTGTTCAGCCGAATGAATTCCCTCTAGACTAGTACTGTGTACCAAGAAACTGCATGCATTGATTATTGACTTAATTATTAAATTTTACTACTCCGTATGAATTTTAGGTAAAGTAGGTGAATGATCGATGTCTTGTTCATTTGACTGATAAGTTATATCTAAAAATATCGTTAACTGATTTATTATAAAAAATATTATTTATTAATTAAAAAAATACGACTTATTAACCCAACGAAGAGGGCGCAAGTCGCGTGTTGAGAGTTGCCAGTCTTCGTGCCATCGGGCTGTTTACCCCGATTATTTTGCGTTTATTATTGGGAGAGTGGTCAAAGCGTCACGGCAGCCCTCGGTTGCTAATTAATACTCCTATTTTTTTTAAAAAAAATTTGTGGAGGATGGATCTGCCAAGCTTGTGACGAGTGTCGACATGGGTCAACCTTGGTCAAATTGCGCTATCCGCCTATCCGAACCGAGGCCGTACGTTGTTTCCCGGTCAGATCAGCATGCCTTGGCCCTTTTGGAATAGTAGTACAACTCCGGCGGGTGGCGATCGACGACGACAACGACGAAGTGCATGAATGGCCGGAAATGCACCTGGTGGCCGGTGGTCGCCAATAAAATTCTCCTCCTTTATATTATTTAAACTTTAAACTTAAACGGTAAGCGTCCGTCATACGCATGCATGCCATGAACGCGCGCGGTCGTAGTTGGCTCGCTCGCTCGCTCGTAACAAGGCCTCTGCTGGTACGTGTCTGGGGTGCATTGCATTTGCATTTGCATTTGCACGCGAGATAGATGAGCACGTGGGCGAGATTATCCCTTCCGCTGAGTACTAGTCTTAAAGAGGGAGAAGAGAGACTAGCAAAGCGCTGCTACTCCCGTTTTAGTTTCGTCCTAAATCAAACTTCTCTAATTTTAAGCAAATTTATAGATCTCTTATTTTCTCCACTGCGTCTGTCTTTCACTCATTTTTCCATCTTTCAGTCACGTTGGTCATCGTTCACTCTCATCCTTCTCGCTTTGCCTTAAGTGTTGCAAATCCTTTATCGGTGGCTCAGCGTCACACCACATTCATGTCACGGTCTTGCTTTCCAAGCTCTCTTCGCTTGTGTCTCGCAGCACGTGTGCGGGTATGTGGCTCTTCTTTCTCACCCGTTAAAACTCACGACATGTGCACACAATAGCCACATGTTCAAGTGGAGTCAATCTCCTGTCAATTTTCCATATGAAATTAATTTTGCATACGAAATTAATTCGTTCCAGGTCGCGCGCTCAGCTCACGAACGACGCCGTCTGGACGCAACGCACGATCCCGCAGACGCGTCGGTTGCATGCGCGCATGCGTGCATGATAAAATTTCGAACTTCTCTGATTTTGATCATCAATCACCAAAATTATAGGTCTCTTATTCCCCCCCACCATGCGTCTGTCTCACTCATCTTCCATCTTTCTTCCATTAGTCCGTTGTCACTCACCCTTATCACTTTTACTTTGAAAGTACAAAATCGGCGGCTGGCTAGGTGCCACACCACACATGTCACTAGCTCACCCTTTTATCGCTTTTACACAATTTGACCAGGGTTGACCCAAGTCTCCTTTTATGTCATGAGGCATGTACACATGCGTGTGTGGTTTGGCTTTCACCTTTTTAATCTCACTCACAAACTATTTAAATTGGATCAATGTCCTATCAAATTTTGCATACGAGAGTAATCTTTTTATTGTACTAGCATTTATTATGGGGCGTGTAATTTATTTAATTTAAGGCTGGCTGGGTTAAACTCAACCAAATATTTCCAACAAAAATAGCTACTTACCTCATTATCATCGGCATGAGCAACGTGTAACCAATTATATGTCCTGTTTCAACGCATATGTATGTTTTAAAATTTAGAATTTTTAAACGGTCTCGAATGTCGATATGACCTGGACCAAAGTTGTAGTTCTTAATGTGATCTACAAATTTATAGTTGGCAATGCAAGTTTTTTAATCGAAGTCATTAGAGTCCTAAATATGTGTTTAGGTCTCGGATATTGAAACTCAAATTTTAGAATTTTCTAAACGACCTCGGATGGTGACATGGTTTAGACTAAAATTGTAGCTGCCGATGTGATCCTATAAAGTGCTATTTTTCTGAAAAAAAAACATTTATAGAGACAAGCCTAAATAGACGACGAGGTGGCTTTGTCAATTTTAACATTATTAGTCGCCCTAGATGTTGATACCGTAAAGTATGTGTATGATCATAGAGGTGAGTGGGTGCAAATACACATTACTAAAAGTACTTTCTAAATGCATGCACGCATCGCATCGCATTGCTTGATAGTATAGCTCAACCGGCGTGGCGCTTTGCTATAGTGGTAAACGATCTGAACTCATCATTCTTCAACGGGCATGTTCGGCTGGTTATTAAAGCCGGTGATAAGCCGGTCTTGGCTGAATTGCTATGAGAGAAAAATACTGTAGATTATAGCTGATAAGCCGGCTGATAAGTTCTGGAATTACAATAATGGCGTGCGTAAAATGCATGGTTATTTTTTTTTGAACATCAAAATTTCCCAGCTATATAATGGCGTGTTAAACGATTATTTTTTCAACAAAGGAATCGTGTGGAGGTGGCAAGATTGACACGAGTTCTCCTACTCTGACAAGGTCTACTGCATCTTAGGCGTATGTGCCATAGCTATTTTCTGAAGCACTCTAAAATTCTTCTTGTGTGTTTGTGTGTGTTTTATAAAAAAAATCTACCTCTGCTTGTACAACGGTTTATCCAAGCGTACAAGGTCGGTGTTGAGTGTTGACCGTACCACAGTAGTCAACACACTCAACAGGTGCTACTCTTCTAGACACTCCAACAACACTTTTTTTTGACTAAAACTGGAGGGGCTTGGAGCCCCTACAGGCACAACACTTTTTACTTTTTGACAACACTCCAACAACACTTTGAAAAGTACTGTAGATGAGACCACGAATCATCGTAATAAAAGTAGTGAGTCGGCTGAAGCTGTTTTATTATGAGAGAAAAACACTATAGATTTTAGCTGATGTAAGAAAAATGGACCCTTGGTCCATTTACTTTGGATTTTGGTATTTGATGACCAACACAACCAAATTAGACTAATGAATTTGCAAGTGTTTGTTTTGTAGTCCAATAGGGTGCAAGACATGACTTGGACGAAGGCGACATGATGATCTGATAATCAACACCTCAAGCAAGACCTTAGAAGCACAAAAAAAGACCCAAGATGTCAAGCAAAGTCCAAGCATGAAGATAGGAACCAAGCCGTACGCAAGATCGCTGAAGAAACGAGCTCATGAGGCGACCGACGCCGGACCGGACATTGGAAGCGCCGAGCGCGACGGACGCTGGACCAATGGCTTCGGCAGACAAAGCGATCGGACGCAAGGACCGGACGCTGGCGGCAAACCGGACGGACGCAGGAACGCAGCGTCCGATCGAGTAAGACAGAGGGTTCCAGCGCTGCTGAATCGCGACCGGACGCGTCCGGTGGCAGGCGACCGACGCTGGCAGCGTCCGATCGGTAGTTCGCGGCTACAACGGTCGGGACGACCGGAAGCGTCCGGTCAGGACGATTCAGCGTCCGGTCAGTAGCAGAATTGCGGGAGTTCGACCCCAACGGCTACTTTCTTAGTGGGGATTATAAATACAACCCCCAACCGGCCATTTGAGAGGGGTGGAGCTGAGGAAACATACCAAGGGTGTTGATACACCATTTTAGTGATCTCCACTTGCTAAGTGCTTAGTGTTTCATCAGGTGATTAGCGTAGGTGCTTTACGAAGTACTTAGGTTGATTAGACCATCGCTTATGCGCTTGCTCTAGGTGTATGCCTAGTGTTTAGTGAGGTTTGCATACCTCTTGCCACCCCGTGCTTACGAGCACAAGAGTTGTACATCGGAGGGGCTTGAAGTCTTGCGAGATCGCACCAACCGCGTTTGTGGTGCGGCCGTCACCGTGTCTGCAAAGGAACAAGGCCAGCGGCGTTTGGCCGAAAGCTTGATAGTGAAGACGGCGGGGAGCATCCGGAGAGGCTTGCCGGAAGGCACGTCGAGACCCACTTGCGCTGTGGGGAAGGCCCGAGGCTATCCACGGAGTTACCCGACCGGGAGCTTGGCCCTTGCGAGGGATTCCTTGCGAGGGCTCCAACGAGACTAGGGGAAGCTTGCGCTTCTCGATACCTCGGTAAAAAATATCGGAGTCGTCGATGGGAGTTTGCATATCTCTACCTTGCTCTTTAAGCTTCCGCATTTACATTGATCATATTATTATCATTTGCGGTAGAGATAGCAACACACTAGCAAAACCGTAGTTGCACATCTAGATAGATTATCTATTGCATAGGTTTTGCTAGAAGTAGAAAAAGAGGCCATAGCTTAGAGTTAGATTTTTAAGTTGCCTAATTCACCCCCCCCC